TTTGTAAAAGAATTATTTAGATGTCTCTTGTTTGATAGATATTTTTTGTCTTTTATTTGATAGATTTTTTTAATTTTCCAGGCCTTTTGTTTGTAATGATCAAGATTCAGTCAAGTATTTAGTTAACTAGTACTGTAGTACATACACCCTAAAATGGGGTAACTTAGACCGGCGGGGTAACTTAGACCACTTTTCGTTTTTTTAACAAAAACCCCCACAACTCAAAAACTATTTGACATAGAAAAATTTTGTTGTAAGGGGAGGCGTTCGGCCCCGGTAAGTTTAATATTTATATTAAGGAGGTAGATGGTACAGCGGTGGACAAGACTGGCATGTAAGGCTACTGAAACCACCTGGGCACAGCTTAGAGAAATATATTATGAAACACTGAAACCAGCATACAGCCACCAAAGTGTGCAGACACCGCCAGTTGGTGCAGAGTGAAATGGGGTTAGTAGTGTTATGATGGTATGGCAACAGCAAGGCACGCTAGCAGTTGGAGCTTGCACGTTAACAACACAGCCGAAATCTTGCAAAATCACCAGGCCCTCAGTCCTGGTTGCAACTAGCAAATTGCAAGTCCTAATCACTAAAACAAAGGAACCAGTTAACCAAGGTCACCCACCCGGGCTGACATCACACAAGATACAAATGGCAAACACATGGTCAGGCAATAAAATCAATCCCTAATTACCATCTAAAATTGCTTGTTTCTTTTACTAGAACATCACAATAAAAACATATTTGCACTGGCACAATAATTCCGGACAATGTGAAAATTAGTTCAGCAAGTCTCTCCTCTGTGTGCTCCACTAAGGTTGNAACCAATCACAGCTTGAAAGCATCCCCATCAACCAATCACAGCTTGAAAGCATCCCTAGCAACCAATCACAGCTAGAAAGCAGATAACATTATAATTCCATTATCCAACCACAGCTGGAAAGCTGAAAGGGGCTAAAATCACAATCCTATCAACCAATCACAGCTGAAATTCTGGAAAAGGCTAGGATATGTAAATAATGGACTGAAAGTGTAAATTTCCTGGCCTTTCCAAGTTTTCAGGTCCTGCTTTCCAATATGCTATGTGTACTAGTTAATTTATTATCCCTCTAGAATTCCACACTGACCCCAAGTCTCTAATTTTACCCTAAAACAGTCAAACGGCAACAATAAAATTTGTCTTTACTGTAAGTTGAGCACCTGTTAATGCAGTCTGACCGGCAGTGACAGCTTTGACATGACCACAACTATGCATGATCTTCAGCAAAAGATTTAGTTGATTTGTTTACATTACAATGTTTATGTTTTTTCTGCAGGATATTTTGGTGGGAACAGTAAAGCAATGCGGATTGCGGAAGTTGACAATTTTTTGAAATGACATGTTTGCAAAGTGCAAACCGCGATTTTTCAATCAAACAAAAATATATGACATTCGAGCTGCAAGATTTCATACTACTGAAATTATAGTCAAATGGGGTAAGACAGGATTGCAGCCTTCATGGGGTAAGAAAGGACCGGCTCATGGCATGCAATCTAATTGCACTGAATTTAATTTGACAAAAGAATATGTTAGAGCAATCATTGCCTGTCATTTCAGTGCTTGTTTCAACCCTCTTCTGCAAATAATGAATTTCTGGCTAATTTTCAAAGAAAACCTATGTAAAGAAGGGTCATAAAATAGTTAACCTTGTTTGGGAAATAAGCTCTGTCTAATGACAAAAAATTTTTTGGTCAGGTTTGTGGATGTAGGCAGGTAAACTCAAGTAATAAGCAACTTATGAGACATACTAGGCATTCCTACCTGCTACCATCACTGCCTGACAACTATTCTAAAATGGGGTATAAAAGGACCGGACATGGGGTAAGACGGGACCACTAAATGATCCTGTTTTACCCCACAAGTGGTTGTATCTTACCCCATAAATGGTCCTGTCTTACCCCACAAATGGTCCTCTTTTACCCCATAGTTTATCAAAAATAGCTTTTAAATGAATATATTATTGTGCATAAGTATACATGGAGTATTTTGGTCAAAATTTTCATCTTTTGCTTAAAATAACCATTCTAACATGTTAGCTTTTTTAATTAGATAAATTTAGCATAATATTGTGAATTGCATCACGGGGATGGAGAAAATAGGGACGTCTCTTTCCATTAGTGAGCTGCAGAACAATGTGCAAGAGTGGTTGGGGGAAAAGTCATTGTGTGAAACATAAAAAATAATTATTATCACAATTTTGTGAGAGGGCATGGGCTATGTTTAAAGAAGTGCACCACAAATGCAGTTAGCAAGAAAACACATGACGTCCAACTCTTAAGTTACTATCCATTGGTTTCATTACCAATTTGATAAATTTTCAGACAATGACACTAATGGAATATACATGAAGCATTTAGCAGTGCTCTACAATGAACCAAAGCCAACCCACTATTACTATGCTTAACAAAGTTTTCTCATTACAAAAACTCCAATGTGACTGATATTAGAGTTGGCTTCCCACAAAACAAAAAAGTAACAAGTGGTTGTTTAATCAAATAATGTGTTTCTAGATTGAATAAGATTGAGATTGAATGATATCTATTGAATATCAGATTTGTACTTTTATTAAAAACCTTGCAACATAAGAATTGCCAGTTGGCCCTGTCTTACCCCATGCCTGGTCCCATCTTACCCCAGTGGGGTAAGATGGGACCAGCCAACTTTTTTTAATCTTTACAGAAAACTATGTTAGATGCAAAACGTCTGAGTTGTAGCTTAGAAGCCCATTGCATATATACACCTTGTGCTAGGTTTAGGGTTTTTAGTTATTTAGGGTTATTGGTATAGATGCTACAGGCTTGTTAGTGATTTTGGTCCTGTCTTACCCCATCTGACTATATATATGATATTAGAACCGCGATATTTCAGACAAAAATAAGACTTTTCCAGCCCTGAACAGATGTACTAAATTTTTGTTCATGCGCGGCATTACCCTATGGCCTATAGCAGACAAGTGTTAATTTGGGAGAAATATTTGTATTCAACCACCAAATTGGGTAATTCTTTTAAAATATAATTTATCATTTCCACATAATTAAAAAATTTGTTGCATAATGATGCAAGCATTGCGAGGGCCGAGGCTCGCACAGGTTTTGTAGCGAGTTCACAACCTTGGTTGCGCTGAGATTGTATTTGGGTAACTGTACACTGTAGACTACAGTTACCCAAATAGTGTACACAATTTCTAGGACATAGATGGCAATGCTTCTACGTAATAGATAACACATTTATACAAGATACAAAGAGAAATAAGGACTGACAATATCATTTAGCAAATTAGCATTTTATTGATCCTCTTATTTGTTTAAATTTGTACAGTAAAATAAAATTATGCTAACCTAATAAATGTAAGTCATATATGGTAGGTACCTAGTTAAGATGGGATCAATCAATTGATCTATTATAAATCAATGATCAACAGTTTAGCTTCAATTTGTTTTCAAATTCATAGTGAATTCATAGATGAAGTATTAACTTGTGGTATCCATTCTAGTGTAATAAGCTTTGTAAAATTTTTCATATTCATTGACTGCGAAGTAAACTATAATTGAATATATGGTTATTTTATAAAATCCCAATTATAAGGCAGAGAAAAAGAACAAGGTCCCATTTACCCTCAATGCAAATAAAACCTCTTCAGCGGTGCAGCTCCAACATCTTGCCACTTCAACAGCTTGAAGCTTTACATAGTTACTCAATTTTGCTGATTTGTTAATTTATTGTCAGTCAAACTGGTGATACAATTCTTGTGCTACGTAACCCACATCAATTTTCATTTTCTTCTATTAGCCCATATGGGTGATACTCTGATATTGATTACAAATAATGCATAAAGATTGGTTTCAAGGCCCACAAAACTCACGAGTTAACATTTTATTCAAAATCTGGCATTGATTAATAATATTAATAAATTCTTGAAAAGGTAAATTTCATAATAGAAAATAGGAGCCTATTGTGACGCGAGCTCCTCGCTCGCATCACAGCTCAGTGACCCTTGGAGTCGGTGTAGGCCACCATCAGAGGCGTTAAGGTTGGGGCCCTGATCATTAACATGAAACCATTCCCTGTTTTTAATTAATAAAATCAATTCTTTTTTTTTTTTGTTGGAATGGTGAGTGTGGGAGGCCTTTTTTTTAAAAAGCCTATTTTTGTATTTCAAATCTGAGTTGTATAAACAGGCACTATCTATGTTCACAATTTGTCTATGTTCATTTGCAAACATGCATGCTATATGGATGTTGACTTTGCACTCTGACATAAATACATTATCATTTAATCCAGCTCTTGGAAAATACATTTCTAATTTCACATAATGATTAGACTCAGTGAAAATGATTAGGTACTTAATTATGAAGCTTTTCATAACTGCATTGTACATAATATGAATCATACTCTCCAGCTCAGCAGAGTGCCTTGGATAAGCAGATGAATATTTTTTAGTGTGCAAGGCACTAATTTTCTTTGGGTGAACTGGGAAGAAAAAACTTTTTAATTATTTTGAATCAAGTTACATTGAGAGAAGCAAAGGAAAGCAAGTTTTCTTTGCTTTTAAATTTTAAGTTAAATTGAGCAATGAATAACATCAGATTATAAATACTGAACCACATGTAGGTTGGCTTCAAAGTTGCCTAATTTAAATCCACTAATAATTGTGGATTTAATAAAAATCATGGAACCCAAATTTCATTCTAAGAAATAAGTTTGATGAGCATCTCACAAAAAGATCAATGACAATGGTAAATGAATTTCAAGTATACTCCTAACAAAACATGCACATAACAGTATTGTCTTGGTTCAATCAATATTGTAATAAGTGTTTTATATCAAGCCGAATGTACTATACTTCATTGCTGACTCAGATAAGTTCTGTAACCAAACCTATTTCCTTGTATGGCTTTGCATAATCTTAGTCATGTTATGCATATTTAATTTCTTAATGCAACTTACATTTACTGTATTTTTCAGTGCTTAATTTCTCATTGATAACTAAAACATCCTTGATCATGACGGTGTCTGAGGGAGAAGATGAGTATGAATATGAGGAACAGGAAGAACTCCTGTTTCTGGACCTTAAGGGAGTTGTGCAGTCTGAGATCACTCAAGAGGCCTTGAATAACTTCAAGTTGCTTGGCATTCACACACCAAATCCTATTCTACAGGTATCAAAATATTGTACTCTTAATATGTTCTAGTCTTAGTCTTAGGAATTTGTAGAGTATTAGCGTTAATTCTTTTATGACGTTGTTCAATTGTTAGCCAGGAAAACTAATCCATTTCTTTGTAAGATCTTTTCATTTATTTGTTATCAATGCACGCACATATTCAAACAATTATTATCATTGTACTTTGTTCTATGGACATCGAATCATTAATTGTATTTCATCATGCATGAAAATTGATCAGTTTTAAACCATAAAATGTCTTTGCTATTTGTTAGAATGTAGCCTAGAGTCTATGTAGGTGGGGCTTTTTCAGCTGAAGGCTCTTCCCTGCTTGTTGTCATTGTAGTCGCTCTACTATGTTTCTTTCTGAACTGAATAGGTAATAAAGACACAGGTAATTTTGTTGAAGAGGATTAATTGAAATCTAAAACCTTTTTATTATATAGATTATTGTAAAGCACCAGGATTCCATAAAATGTTTGCTTCTGTAGATACTATAATAAAACATTTAATTGTTGAAAGCTGAATAATTAAAATTAATTGGAGAATACATTATCTCGATCTACTGTGTTGTGGTGCTCCATTTTATTGTTAAGCCATCAACTGCTATATCTGACAAAAAATGTTAAACATGTGCCGAAGTCAGACGACATGTTTGCCCTAAATGAGCTACTCTGAAACCTTCATGCCACATATATTCAACATATTACTTCTTATGCAACCAGTAACCTGAAATGATTGAACAATTGTTTTTCCTCAGATTGGTGGACTAATATTCCAAGGAGGCTTTGAACCAACCGTGGGAACAGCTGTGTTTTTTCAAGAGCAGCCACAGTCAGCCTCAACTCTGCCTCCCCTGCCTGTGTTTGCCAAGAGGCCCAAGAAGATGCTTCAGTACGCTTACAAAGCGCATAATATGATACAAATGAAGCGTATTTTTGTTAAACCCTTCAAGGAAAATAGTGAAGCCCAACTGCTTGGAGATGATTGATGTTCCAGTAGTCCAGAAAATATGCATGATATAGGAGCTGATATGAGATTTTCTGCTCTCTTGCTGTAATATTAATAGTTTTAATATAGGTAACTATTGTTAATAGTCAAATAAATATAGTCACTGCTTATGGATGTGACTTCTGATATGGATTGGAGAGTGTTAAATATTCAGATGTGGTCAAATATTCCTTTTATTACTTATGCATTGTTTACATACGATCATCAAAGGCCTACTTAAGTGTAATTAAAAAAAACTGTGGAGCAATAAAAAATATAAATTTTGCTATTAAATTTCTTTTTGAGGTAAAATGATTGGATTCTGCTGTGCAGTCGAAAGCTAGATTGTAGGTTATGAGCTTTATTGTAATTGATACCCTGCCTGTTTGCAACTATGTATTAATGTTTTGCACTGCTAAATTTTTTTATTTTAGGTAGTACCAATCTTCTGCTCTCGATTTTAGGTGCATGTACTTGTTTGCAGTATCTTGGCTCAATCTCTTTCCATACCTTAATTTTTGTTAATTTTTTCATGAAATATGTTCTTTTGCTTAAATTTCTTTTGATCACATCTGGTATGGAATATCTAGTTGTCAGTAGCCCATTTTGAAGTTTTCCACGAATATTATGCTGTCAGTTAGTTGATGTGACTAAATGATCAATCAATTGAAGATGAAAGAGTTAAGTTAACTTGTATTGTTTTTAGCTTTGCTCACTAATTCATTTTATCCAAATTAGACCACAGTACCTATACGGGTATGGAGGCCAAGAATGTTCACAATCATTTAGTTGTCTTTGTCGAGTTTCCTTACAAATACTGGTACAGTATTTGTAGCAAATACTGTAGCTTCATTAAAAAAATGGCTTGTGAGAGGGCTAGTTGTCGCAAACGTGTCAAAGTATGATGTTGCTTTGATATCGTCTATTATATGGCGAATATGTATACTCACTCTGATCTAATCAACTGTAGTGTTAAGGTAAAAATGTTTGATGACCAAGAAACGAATGTTTGCACTCGTTTGTTCTCATGGACAGTTAATGAACGAAATTTACCTTACAAACAAAACTTTTGTGTTGAGTTCTTTTAATGTGGTTAAAAAAATCAACATATTATTGTCTGCCTATTAGATTGAGAAGATACATGCTCCTCACTATTCCTGTTTTGACAGCTGCCACTTGCCATTTTCGCACGGAAATTTCCAATACAATTCTTCTGGTGCGAGTAAGCTTGTATATAAGCTTAGCCCAACAAGCTTATATAAAAGTGGTGGCCCAGTGGTTACAGTTCAGAGTACCAAGATTGGCGCAGAGAGGCGCGGGTTCGATCCCAGCTCTGTGCGCCAGTTTCTGGTCAGAATCGGCGAGGAGGCCGGGCGGTTAAGCACAGTAGAATTGTAGCAGTGAGTTGTGAGGTCGAGACCGCAATAAGCTGTGAATGTTCATCGATGTTAAGAATCGGCGACAGGCCCACGGCCTAATAAACGCTGAGACAGCTATGCTATGCTGTATCACGTAGCTTGAACACCGATAGGCCCTGCAGTCTAGGGTGTAATGAGTATGTCTTGCATGTCTGCAATGTATGTGACTATGTGTTACTGATAATGAATTTTTAATCTAATATTGCTTTGTAGTGTCCGGAATAAATTTCTATTTTCACTACTGTGTGTTATTGTGAAATTTATTTTGCTGGTGGTTTAGTTAACTTCTTCTTAAATGATTATAAATATCGTGATCGTCAAAATTATTATGATTGAGATTATATGAGGATTATACAAATGTAGGTAACGACCAGTTTGAAGTCTACTCACATATTTTGAATATATGAATTGAACAACCCTATCTTATTTTAATAACATGCTATACTTCCAAATTTTATTGGTCCAATCGCTTGAAGATGACTGGGCCAATTCATCGCTTATATTAATACAGAAATTGTTGAGCGCCTGCCTAGTCAACAACACGAGCATCGGAAGCACCACCACCGAAGTTACTTTACAGATAAAAGAGACGAGAAATTCGTTACAACTCGGCCGTACTCCTCGTACAATTCATGACACCCAGCCTAGTTTTGATCATCGCTGCCAGATAACCGAAACTTCCCCAAATTTCTCGAACTTTAAATTAAATGAAAAGTTTTCTTACGAGTTACAATATCCGATTATTGGTTTTGACTTTCCGAGGGCGAAACTGCTGGCTACAAATCTTACTTTTAGACTAGCCCTGGAGTTAACTCCACATAAAAATGCAAAGCTACCTTAATGGAAAGATTTTTGTCATTATTGACAGAGGAGTGATTATACGACATTAATTATGATAAATTTATTTTTAAGAGGAGAATGTACCCAAATTAGAAACTTTTATATTTACGGATGGATTATTTTGAAACTTAGTACACATATGTAAAATAGAAAGAAAACGGCTTGTGGAAATTTTTCGAAAAATGAAAGAAAACCTGAAATTCATAGAAAACGGCAAAGAAGAGGGTACTGTAGAAATAATAATAATAATAGCGGTTTCAGCGTTTTGTAGGCCATAGGCCTGTCGCCAATTCTCAACATCGCAGAACATTCACAGCTTGTTGCGGTCTCGAACTCACAACTCACTGCTCCAATTCTGCTGTGCTTAACCGCCCGGCCTCCTTGCCGATTCTGACCAACAGTACGTCACCCTATATTTCTGGACACTGAGCAAGCGGCGATGAGGTGATAAATCCTGCACATTCTCACTTAAGACCCGACTAAATAATAAGCCCGTCATAATCACTACTTAGATAATCTTTGATAACTTTGAATTTATGTTTCCTTGCAAGATTCTTTTTCAGTAATTAAAATTTCACGTTTAAAAAAAATGTGTGGCAATAAATTTGTACCAGTTCGGCATACTTACTGCTACGATTCGCGAATTATGTCTTTGATATCTTTTTACCGCATCGAGCATTTCCTTTCAACGTCCGAGCTAACTTTGTGCCTTGCTTAACCACCTTTTTAGCGCATTTTCTCATTTATGGAAAAAATGCCCTATTGTGCTCGTCATGTCCGTCCGTCTGTCTGTCCGTCCGTGACTTCACGTTTTCGTACGAGAAAATACGCGCTTTCTGTCACTCACTGCAGTGAGTGCTGAGTTATATATATTTTTTTGATTCTTCAGAACTTACGGGTTGGGCAGACGCGGCAGCGAGTTGCTGCTGTTTTACCTCTTCACGCGCGTTGATTAGGAGCCGTATACTGCAATTCATTTGGCATCACAGAGCAATTTCTAGGAGTTGATGAAAATTTCTACCATCTTTCGACTTTTCAATAAGGAAAACCTTGTTCCAGCTATGGTTTAACTCTATATAGTTGCTTGCCTTCAGCCATAAATGCTTCAGATTGACAAATTCTATTGATGAGGTCACTGTCAACTTCAAGGGTTCTTCGCGTAATGAAAATTGATTTATTTAATTAATAATAAAATTTAGACAATAATTTAACTAATTACTGTCTAATTAGCGCGCGTACGCCATGACGATGCGTAGAATTGTGGAACGATGGTCCTGCTTTCGGTCTAATATCTTAAGAATCTTAATTAGATCCTGTCATCAAGAATTGTAATATAAAATGTAACACAACAGATAACAGTTATATAAGAGATCTTCAAAATGTCAGTCAATATCACTAAAATATCAGTCGCTGTTGGTTCGTGGGCGGTTTAATTGGTCCATGATGCATTTATTGACAATGCGAGTACATGTAGCGAGACGACCTGTTTTGCTACTTATAGGGGATGCTTCGTTAACTCAGAAGTCTTAAATTTATTGACCATGCGAGTACATATAGCGAGACGACATGTTTTGCTACTTATAGGGGATGCTTCGTTAACTCAGAAGTCTTAAATTTATTGACCATGCGAGTACATATCTGTCTCTTATACACATCTAGATGTGTATAAGAGACAGCAAATGTAAAGTTATCCACCTTGGCAAGAATAATGAACAGCAAGATTACAGTATGAGAAGACACGGTTGCAACGACAGAGTGATGATGTCGAAGTCGACAACGGAAAAGGATTTAGGAGTTAATATCGACAATGAGTTGAAATTTTCTAAGCATATTTAAGGTCAAGTTAATAAAGCCAATAAACTACTTGGACTGATCAGACGCTCTTTCGAGTTCCTAGATGCAGAAACGATGAAGCAGTTGTTTTTTGCTGTCGTGCGCCCGAACCTAGAGTTTGGAAACGTCGTGTGGTCACCGAAATTTGAAAAGGACAAAAATTTAGTAGAGAGTGTTCAAAGACGCGCAACAAGGATAGTTCCGGGCCTGAAAGGCAAGTCCTATGAAAAAATATTAAAGATTATGAAGCTTCCAAGCCTCCGTTATCGACGTCGGCGTGGGGACCTCATTGAAGTATACAAGTATACTCATGGCTTATACAAGGTCCCAGAAGGATTACTAGAATTTGAAACAAGAACCAACACCAGGGCCAGGGCTATAAACTAAAAAAACAGCGTTGGAACACATCCATGCGACAACATTTCTTCTCGCTTCGAGTCACCGACATGTGGAACAGCCTCCCTGATAGCTTCGTTGACGCTCCGAGCATGAACATCTTCAAAAACAGACTAGACGAAGCTATGCAGGAGCATGTGTTCAGTCCTAAAATACTTAGCAAATTACGGACCAGGCAATAAGTCCAGCAGCTATCTCAATCAATCGTCAGCTATGGAAAGATCGGGTTCCAAAGGCCGGATCCCTTGTGAATCAAGTCACGAAAAGTTCAAGAATCGGCAACAGGCCATGGCCCATGGGCCTATTTCTTCAACGCCGACACTTCTATTCTATTGGTCCCGGAGGCAAACCATGATTCAAATTCAGCCATTCTTAGTATTGCAGTCAATATGAGACTCTTTGATAATTTTTTACGTTTAATGAAAATTCAAGTGCATCCCTGCTTTAAAATTCACATCTATCGTATTCTTTTTCACTGCAGTTTCTTGAACAGCTAAAGTATGAAATTTCAGCAGTCGCGGAATGTGCGGGTTCTACCAGGCCTCAATCCCCAATCCCCTATCCCCATGCCTCATTCCTGTTCGAGCTGCTGTTGACGACGGACGTTGGTAAGAGGAGCTGTCATTTTGAAAATAGGTGAGTAGCCTATCTGAAGAAAGTAGCCAATAGGTTGCTGAAAATTTCAAGAATTGGTTTTTGCATAGCGTTGATACTTAAGTAGGAGGGGAATAATAGAAAGAGGGGAGGATATTATTATTATAATATCCTATATTTATATAAGAATAATAAGATATAGGGTAAACGCGGTATATTCCGACATCGTAGGTAATTCCGTCACCTCTCCAGCTTTTCCTTTATATTAAGCTTTGTTTTAGTTCCATGCGTTCATTGATGGTTGAAATGGTGACGTCATACATTTGCGTGTCAAAATACTGCAAAAACACTAGGTCTTGGCCATCTAGTGGGAAAATATTGAGATCCAAAGAGAGATAATGCATGCCACGTGGTGAGATCATCGAAAAATGTGTCAAATTTGACAGTTGACATGGCTCTACCAAATAGTGAATAGTTTTGAGAGTCATGTGAAGGCAACAGAACTTACGTAACGCATACGTTTTTTTTTATAGTTTTTCATTTCTCGATGCGTCCTTAATGTGTCGGAATATACCGTGTTTACCCTAGTGAAAAGTGACCCAACTATCAAATCAAGGTCATTATTTCCCTAACAAGGTAGGGTTAGGGTAAACACGGTATATTCCGACATCGTGGGTAATTCCGATTTCCGACACCTCTCTAGTTTTTCCTTTATATTAAGGCTAAGCTTTGTCTTAGTTCCACCGTCCACGCATTCGTTGATGGTTGAATTTGCCCGTTGAAATAGTGACGTTGTACCTTTGCCCACCAAACTATTACCAAAACACTAGGTTTGGGCCATCTGGCGGGAAAATGTTGAGATCCAAAGAAACACAGTGCATGCCACCCAGTGAGATCATCGAAAAATGTGTCAGAGTTGATAGTTGACCTTGCTCTATCAAATAGTGATAAACTGTTTGTGTAGAAAGAATATTATGGTTTGAGACTTTTAAATACGTCTGTCACTGTCTGTGAACAGGGTCACACTTAAAAGCCACTTCAGCAACTTCAGCGTCTTTGGC